AATAAATTATTTATTATTAATAAAAAATATAATTTATGTATTAAAATTAATTAGAATATAATTTATGCATATTTAAAAATATTTATTAAAAATTTTAGTTATATAAAATTGAATATTTATTTGGTGCATAGTACAAGTTAAAATGCAATTATATATTATGAGATACAACTATAACGAATAATTGAATAATGACAAATTATATGCAAATCTTTATACAATTATTATTTTTTATTTACATTCAATATTTTATTATTTTAAAAATAAAAAAATTATATACAATATTTGTATATAAATTATTATTAGATAATTATTCATTATGATTGGTTTATATTATTATTATTGTTATTGTTATTATTATTATAGATTAATTTGAAATTTTTTCTATCATCATGTAAAAATTTATACAATATAGTATCTCAATTTGTCTAATGGGGACGCTTTGTCAAAAGAACATTGAGAAGAAGAAAAAAATACAAACCGAATACAAACTAATATAATAAATAAAAGGATAAATTTTGTCTTGTATAACGGTTTGTGATTTTAGGTCTTTAAATTTTAATACAACAATTTTAGTAATTTAAGTATCAGTTGTATAATTTTAGTCTTTTAATTTTTGATGGAACAATTTTAGTCTTTTAAATATTATAATTGTGATTTTAATTTTTCAAGTATAATAATTATATAATTTTTTACTGTTTAAATTATATATATTAATAATTTTAATAATAACAAATATATATCATTTAATAAATAAATGAAAATTATAATATATGCAATTTAAATATATCAAAAATTATATAATTATAGTATTTGAAGAAATAAAATTATACAATTGTAATATGATTGAATAAGTTTCTTTATAAATATTTCTAAGAGGACAAAAAAGGAAAAAAAAATTTCATAAAATAAAATTAACTCATGTATAAGTTGTTTTGTATAAGTTTTCTCTATTTAACTTTTTCAATATCTTGTTTTTAACTTATACATAAGTTAATTTTATTTTATAAAAAAATTATTTAAATTTTTTCCCTCTTAAAAGTGTTTTTAAATAAGTTAATCAAACATGTATATATTTAATTTTTTAAGGTTTTACATTATAATTAAAAAAAAAAACAAAGAAACAAACGTAGATGTTGAGTTGAAAAGGAGAAGGATAAAAAATAGAGTTAAATTTAAACGTTGATTCTGGTTGTACTGGAGTTTCAGTCAATAGCCCATAGGTGACTCTGTGTCTTCGGTCTTCACTGGACCATCGGCATCGCTAACAGTCATTATTGTTAACCGTTGAATCTACATTTTAATGTCTTCCAAACTTACTCCATATTATTAATTCTCTTTTAACTCTTCTTTGTTCAGATGGAACAAAGGATTAACGTTATCCATTTTTTTACTCAATTATTTCGTTCAATCAAAATTCAAAATATATGGAAGACTCAGTCAATATATATTTACACAGTAATATTATGTTTAGTTAAATTATAAAATAAATAAGATATTAAAATTAAATTAAGATATATTTTAAAATAAACAATAAATTTAATTATACTTTTAGTCCTTACATAATATTTATAATTAAAAATATTTTAATTTTAGTCTATATATATATATATATTCCCTCGTGGGACAGCCGAAAAAAACCATTTCTTTTAGTGTTTTCAACTTTCAAGTGAGTGGAGATTTGGATAATTATTTTTTCAAAGCAACACATTCGCAAGAAAGATTGTAAATAACTGTTTTTTTCCTTTTTGATTTCAATAAATTATTATGGTTCTTCTCTGTTTTGAATTTTTTAATGATGGCATTTCCTTCTTTTAGCTCACGAGCTCGATCTCTTCTTATGCTTTTTTCAATCATATATCCTTGTGTTTTTCACGATGAAGTATAGATTTTAATAAATTTAAGTATGTATTTATATATATAAAGTTAGTTTAGATTCTATTATTGAAGTATGCATGTCTCAAGGGATAGTACTTAATAGTATTATTATCTCAAGATCTTATTGCTATCTATTTTATTTTTTTTTTTGTATATATATATATATATATATATATATCATTTTTTCTTTTTAATACCTATAACTTTAAAATTTCGGTTGGGCTAAAAAAAAAAATTAAAAGTAAAATTTATGAAATTAAGAGATCAAAAGAATAATTAAACATAAATAATATTATACAAAATATTATCTATTAAATAAAATGTTTTATTACTAATACACAATTTTTTGATTTTTTAACACATATAAAATATTAAATCATATTAAAATATGTTTTTTTAAAGATAATGAACACATCTTAAAAAAGTTTGAATTTGAGATTTTATACATACTATCCTCCTAATCCCTCTAATTATGTTGGTCCCAGTGATTTAATAATTAATATGTTTATGCATTTCTTTTATGATTAAAGTGATAACAATAATAATTTATGCTAATTAAAAAATTTAGTTAACATCATTTAATTTTATTAATCTTAATTAAAATATGTTTTTCTAAACTGATTTTAATTAAGTCTTTTAATAAATATTTTAAACATTTGTATTATATTTAAAATTTAGAAAAAATAATTTATTTTGGAATACAAAGTTATTTTGAATTATTAAAAATAATAAATTAAAAAATTGAGAGGTTAAAATTTAAAATTTATAAGAAATAGATGATTTGATGAATATAAATAAATAAGTAGTTATAAATAAAAAAGTTAAAAATAGGGTAATCGTTGATGGAAGGGAAAGGAGAAGTTGTAATTGCGCGTGGATGAGGTGGAAAAGAAAAGGACGTGAATGGAAGATAGAGTCCACGTGTACATGCCCTTCATTTAGAGATTTAGAGATTTAGAGGTTTAGAGAACCCCACAGGCCACAACACAAATTTCACCAAAACTCTCTCTCCTTTCAATTCCCATTCCCACAAAACAGTCTGTCTCCCATGCCCTCCAACAACCGCCGCCACGCGGTCGCCGAGCTCGCCGGCGCCACGGCGGCCGAGTGCGTGGCGGTGTGCTGCTGCTTCCCCTGCGGCCTCGCCAACTTCCTCCTCCTCGCATTCTACAAGCTCCCCGCGGGCCTCTGCCGGCGCATGCTGCGGAGTCGGCGGCGCCGGAAGATGGTGAAGCGAGGCCTCCTGCAACTGCCAGCCGCGGCCACCGTCTGCACGTGCGGCGCATGCGAGCAGCAGAGAGTCCACCCCATGTGCGCCAAGGACGCCTTCGACGTGAAGCGTCTCTATGCGGCGGAGGCTGATAACGATAACGATAAGGATGACGAGAAGGCTGAGGTTTTGGCTCTTGAGAAGGAGATGTGGGACCAGTTTTTCAGCACTGGCTTTTGGAGAAGCTCTTCCAACAGAGAATCATCCCAACTCTCTGCGCCTTGAACGCTTTTTATTTTATGCCTCAGCCTCATTCTTTCATTCCTCCTCACTATGTCTCTGTGCAACCCTCTCTCCTTTTCTCTTCAATATCATCATCGTTTTCTGCTTCATTCTCCAATTTCTTCTTTTCTTTTAACCTAACATCCATATTCGATACTAACTAAAAACGAAATTAATACGTATATACTATATAGGTTTAATATACAATTAATGAAATTATAAAAGAGTATTTAATTTTTTTTATTAGACGTACAAATAACACGCATCAACTTTGTTAAATTGATAATAAGAAGAGGCAAACGGTAATGGAATTTATTCGAGTAATATTGACTAATAAGTGGGCCTTATTACGTTTTAGGTGCATGGAAGGGCCGCATGTTGATTAATATTGTGGTAGTGGTGAGTGACACAGAAAGGTGTTGAAATAGATTTTGCAAGTTGTGAAGAAAGTGTGAATTTGGCTAATAAAGACCAAATTTAAGATGAAGGTAGGCTTAAGGTGGTAGAAGATGAGCTGGGCATTAGGGGGGTCCCGGGCGTGCTAAACGTCCACGTTATACCATTTGTCCCCTCTCATAGATATTGGGGCCTATCAATTTGTCTCCAGACATGGATACCATGCTTCCTTTGTACCATTCCATTTTTTCTTTCTTTGTTCATCTGACACGTACCACTAATAATGCTGTGACTGTGAATAAAGGAACTATGCTAATATAGGTAAAAGGCAGATATTGGGGAAGTGATTCAGAGATAGTTTGCCATCCAAGTATTCATTTCATTCATAATGGTGATTGGTGAGAGATGCCAAGTACACCAAGGGTCCACAACATGCCTACACACTACTCACTACACATTCAATGTCACCCCTCCTCAAAACAGAAAATTCAACAGGAGAAAATCGCAACATAACTCACCTATATATCTTCTTCCCTACTTTTCCAAATAAGTTATCACCCATTTCGCCAGGTGCTGCTGCAAACTCTCGCCAACGAAAATCTCTTCACTGTTATCCATGTCTCTTCTCTCACCAAACACTTCTACCCAATAAAATGTACGTCTTTACTGTTAACACACTTAATACAAACTCTCCACACCTACCCCTGATTCGTAACCGCAACCTATTCAACATTGAACTATATTATAAGCACAATTAACTCTCTTGACTCAAAGTCAGTAGTTATATAAGGTATGAGACCATGTATTAATTTTGACACAGTGTGTGTGACATGATGTTTGATGATTGTCTTTAATAAGATATACTTTATTTATATATATATATATATCAATATACCTGATTACCAAAATCAACTATATGTAATGTGAGACTTAAAGCAAATTTTAGGAGAGGATTTTTTTTCTTTAAAAGAAGGGTACTTGTTGAATTTTTTTTAAACAAACACATGAGATCTTTTCCACGATATATGTGCATTTTTCTCTTATAAAAGCTAATAAACTAAACAATTTTATTTAAGACGGGTCTAAACTATACACTTTAGTTGTATATTACTCTTGATTCTGCATTCATAGTTACTTAGAAGAAAAAATAACAGATATTTAACTGCAAGAATAAAAATCATCTGCAAAAGTAAAGACTTTTATAACAACTTGTTTGTTTTCAATGAGAAAGGGCACATATAGAGTTTTAAATACAGTAAATTAAGTAGACTTCTCAGTTGCATACTTTAAAATTAATCATTTAGTTGACAAAAGTAAATAAAAATTTATAAAAAAGGTATTTTTTTTAAAGAACTAAAAAGTCATACCTTGAAGGGTATAATATATATATTTAATTTAAATTATTTTTTTAAACTAATTGCTTATTTTTAAAATAAAAACAGTTGGCTAAAAATTAATTATTTCCTTAAAATAAACTGAACTAAATACGCACTTAGTCTGACTTAGACAAAATCAATTAAATGGATAACTACTTGTTATTATACATTAATCGAATCGTATTTGAAATTAATCCCAAGTTTTATTCGAAGATGCATTTTGAATAGATAGTTCACAACTGCTGATGCATGCAGTTGAAATTGATATTTTAACAAAATAAAATAAAATTGTAGTGTGCTTGAAGCTCATCCAAGCAAATATAATCAATAAAATTTAAATAATTTATTGGCAAATGACGTATAATATCACTGGATGGTGTGATCTGGCAGAAATTAAATATAATGAATAAACAAAATGGGAATGTGACATTTTCAATTTATATAAGAAAACACGTCCATTTCTCGCCACATATTTGAATACGAAATGAAAAAATCTTACGAAAGCTAAAATATTCACGAGATTTTTGCTTTTTTATTACTTGATTTTATGCAACAGCTGTACCAATCCGTGCTAATTCTAGAAGGGACGATGACTTAATTTCCAAAACCAGTGATATAAAAAATAAAAAATGAAAACCAAAAGCATAACCAATGACCAAGCAAATTAAAGAATGAACAAGACAAGAAACAATTCGCAAGGCAAACGATGGAAAGGGATATCGTTAGCACTCAAATTCTAATAAGAGGTTTAAAAATCACGTTTGAGGGGTCTATGTAATCCTATAAGAAAAACAACATCTATTGTTTTAAGTAATTAGAATCAATTTTGATAAAAAGAAAAATGTTTTTTAGATTTTTTTTTTCTTCCTGAAATTAGCATCTCGGACAGTAGAATTTATCTTTATTATTAATATTTTTTTTTATGGATCCATCAATGTCATTTAGAGGATTTAAGAATTTTATCTAATTTTACTCCAATAAAAAAAATTAAACTTGAGTTCTTAATTCACTTCATGATTGACCAACTTCAAACCCTTATTACAATGTTACAGATGGATATTTGTAGACTGCAAATCCTAATCTGATCATTCATTAATGATATATACAATTTAAGCACCAAAAAAATGACATATACAATTTTGATTCTTCATAGTCTTGCCAAAGTAAAAACAGGAAGAAAAAAAAAGGGTCATATTTGGCACTTAATCCAAAAATAATGACATTAAAGAATTGAAATTACTTGACCCGAGAGAATGAAACAGTATTTTTTTTTTTTTTTTTTATCAATTTATTATCTAGCCCTTGTGCTAAGATCCCACTTAACGTTTTCTTTTTCTCAGTCTTTTGGGCGGTTGTGGTCATAGTCATAGTCATACTAATGGTCCATTTTCATGACACATTTTTTATTCCCTTCACAAAAATATGCAGATATTAGATTGGTATCTTTTACTCTTACTCATGTGCTGACCCTTGTTTGATATGCACCAATATCACACAAAACCCATCTCATGTTTTTAACTTTTGGCTCTTTCGGTTATCAACTTTCTTATTCACTTTTTGTGCGTATTGATTCTAATTCATATTTCTTATTCACAAGCAAAAAGCATGGTTTAGTTGCTGAAAGAGACGTGTAAGGTTTTCTCTCTCCCTCTTATGAGTCTGCATTTTTTCCTTTACAAAAAAAGGAAAAGAAAGAAGATAGATGAAGTGTATGTGTCATGTCTTCATCCACTCACTCAAAAATAAAATAATTTAATATTAAAAATAAGTTTAAGAATTAATGATTTTTATTTAACAATTAAAAGGTATTTTTTTTTCATTTACTATTATCGAAATCATATTCATATTGCAGACTAATTAAAAATCGTCCTGAATGTCACTATTAAAGTATTTATTACATAAGTTGATTGCCAAACCACCAATGACAATATATAATTCAATAACAGTATAAAAGTTATGAATAATGTATATAAATTCAACTATAATGTAAAATATATATTTTATTTTTGAAATCAATTTTATCAATTGACATAATTTTAAAAATTACTTCTTTTTGCTTTAATAAAAATGACTTCTTTTGAAGTATTTTTTTAACAAAAATAATTAGATTTAAAAACATAAAATTAGCCAAATCCTTGAAGAAAATGGTTGGATAGAGGTGTTTATAACGGTAGTTGAAAATTGACTTTTTTTTAGAGGTATTTATTTGTCATGTCTATATAATGTGGTTATACTAGTATCAATACTACTTCTCATTGGAGTTATTACACAGCAATCGCGCATAGTGGGTAATAAGCCTTCTAAATTTATGGCTAGTTGACTTGTTCAAGTGTAAACTAGTTGATTGAGAGAACAAGAAATTCACACTAAATTATCAAATACTAGAGAATTAAATATGTATTTAATCTCTTAAATAGGAGGAAAATTTATGATTAATTTTTCAAATTTAAAATTAATTTTTTTATTTCTGTAATCTTTTAAAAAAAATTATTTTAGTCCCTAATGTTATTAGTAAGTCTTTCAAATAAAATTTATAAATAAATTTTTCACATAAAATCTTGTTGGTGTCTTTATTAATAAAAATATTATAATAAATTCAATTAGTACTATATAAATAACTCAAAAAGTTTATAATTGTTAGTAATACTACTAGCGGTCCTGAGGGAGTAAAGAGACTTTTAAGAAATTATAAGAATTGAAAAAATTAATTTTAAATTGAGAGATAAAGATAAATTTATTTTAATTTTAAAAGAATAAAAATATATTTATGTCAAATAAAATTTAGTAAACTTTGAAATATAAAGTAAAATAGTTGATAGGGAGAGCATGAAGTTCATATCTAGCTCTAAAAATGTATTTTGGTCATAAATATTCTTAAGACTCATCATATATATAAACCTTCTTTTTTTTATAAGTACACCTCCTTTATTTTTTTTATAAAAATTATTAAATATTGTAATTTTTTTTTTAATTTTTTAATTTTACACTTCAACTTTTAATTTACTACTTTTTCTTTTTTTTCACATACTATTTTTTTTCTCTTTTAGTTTTCACATGCTACCAAAATAGGTGTAGTGAAAGAAAGATAAGGAGGTACATGTAAAAATTGAAAAAATGAGGAAAAATATGTGAAAAAAAAAGTACTAAATTAAATATTGTAGATATAAAATTAAAAATAAAAAAATTAAAAATATTTTAAAATTTTAATTATTATTATTTTTTAAAAAAGAGGTGTACTTATAGAAAAAAGGAGGTGCATGTATCATGAACCTATTCTTAATCTTGAAAGCAACGATGTTGTTGTTACCTGAATTTTTTTTTTGTTAAATTGATCTCATTCAAAATTTGTCTTATAATGAAGTGGACCGTCAGTTTTAGCCCAACAAGTTTTGGAGCTATAGCTACAAGGCCTTGTTTTACATTGATAAAAAAAAGGCAGATGATAGACACACCTCCACTCTCGTATAAACACACCCCCTTTTTAAAAAAAAATATATAAAATGTCTAAATTACCCTTAAAAAAATAAAATTCTTAAATTTACACCCCCTTCCCCTACCCCGTTCCCCGCACTTCCCTTTCCCTCATCCCACACCCCCCTTCCCCGCAATATATAATAAATAAGAGCAGCGATATATAGGTTCAATTACTGCTGCAATTCTCAACCGTGTAGGGTAAGGCCAGTGCTTCGTCGAGGTTGAGGCCTTCTCCCATTACCATGAGCTTCACGAGTTCAACGTCGGAGGAGTCGAGGGCCCGCCTCATGCAATGGATTTTCTGGTCCTCAGGTAGAGAGCGGCATGGTGGTGATTTGAATTAGCACTTCCATGTAAGGCAATAATAAATGGGACGGGATGGGATGGTTGCGCAGGAGAATTAAAGGACCTTTTTTTAATTTTCTTTTGAGGAGGTTTGTTCTCTTTTCGAAAGTGGATGTTTGGGAAAAGTTTAGTGAGATTAATGTGTGCACGACAAGACTGCATATCATGAGCTAAATTTAGAAATTCCAGAGTGTGCGTCGAAGTGCTGGAAGAACGGCAATTCGAGAAAAAAGGAGGTGTAGGGTGTGGGGGTGCGGAGAAGGGAGGGTGTGGGGTGCGGGGAAGGGAGTGTAAATTTAATAATTTCATTTTTTTTAGGGTAATTTAGACATTTTATATATTTTTTAAAAAAAAGGAGGTGTGTTTATATGAGAGTGGAGGTGTGTTTATCATCTGCCTAAAAAAAATCTGATCCTTCTTTGGGCCATTGAATAAGTTTTAAAGGATTTTGTTATTGACACTTCTCTATTTGTTGAATACATTTTTTTTATATTAAAAATATTTATATATATATATATATATATATAAAAGTAGTCATCAACCCTAATTTTTTATACACATCTCCATTAGTATCTAAATCCGTCTCATTTATGTTTTTTTTTTCTTTTTGTCTATAAAAAATTTAGAAGTCTCCCTTAATTTTATGTTATCGCAATCCTATATTCAATTTAACTCCACAAGAAAAACACTTCAATCTGGATATTGTATAAGATCTATATTCAATTCGTCAAGCATAAAAAATATTTCAATTTCAATATTATGCACAACTTATATTCAATTTTATTGTACAAGAAAAATACCTCAAATGTGATAAAGTAATGAGTTTTTCTTTTCTTTTAAATTTTAGAAAGTATTTTTCTGAAATATGATGTATCATTGTTTTAGATATTTTTTGTTTTTTATTTATCCAATAGATACTCCTAAAATAATATCGTATATACAATGTAGGTATATATCTGAATCTAATAAACCCTAAACACACCAAAAGCATTTTCTAAAAAAAGATGGATATTTATGTTAGATACTTATGGGTGTTATTTGGGTACATAGCAAATGTGTGCCCTAAGTATAATACTTAAAAATATTGTTTTTTTAGTAAAAATATAAAATAAAAATGAGATTTTTGCTTTTATCTTATCATTCATGTTATGTGTACTTGTGTATGACAATTTTTTTTAGTAAAAATATAAAATAAAAATGAGATTTTTGCTTTTATCTTTTCATTTATGTTATGTGTACTTGTGTATGACAAAAAAAAAAAACTCATTATTATTATTTATTTTTTTTGTGTGTGTGAATACTAAGTATAACTCATTTCAAATTGAGGAGGAGATGGATTCAAAAGATTAATGTTACCTTTTAAAATATTTTATTTTAGTTCTTATATATATTATTTTTTATAAATTTATATATTTTTTGTTTTTATAAAAATATATAATAAAATTTTAAAGAAAGTCAAAATAATATGAATAATGACTAAAATAAAATATTTTTTAAAATATAAAGATTAAAATAAAAGTTAAATTTCACATAATTATAGAGATCAAAAGAGTATTTAAATAGTATTATTATTGCTAAAAATAATTTTAAGAAGTTGAAAATTAAAAGGTATAACATATTTCAAAAGTAATTGTTAAGTAGAATTATTTTCTTCACTAACTCCTTGTATATAATCAATTATAATAATAATAATATAGTTATTGAATGTTTTAATATTAAAAAATTGAAAGGTCAATATTTTTTTACAAGTACATTAATATTTAATTTTAATAATTAAAAATTAATAAATGTCAGGCTTGTAATAAAATAATTTTAATATTATATGATTTAGTTTATTCCTATTATACTATTTATTTATTTTAAGTTACTTATTGAATTTAGTTGATTACATTACACTATTAATACAAGAGTTTAATTTATAAGGATTCTTTAAAAAGAAAACTTTAAATTGTATAAAAAGTTGTAGTGGTAACAAATATTAGAGATTGATTAAGATAGAAATGATGAATGAAGTGATAGTTGGAGGAGGACAGAAACAAAAATATTTTGTTGTCCCTCTGATCAGATGCGGTTGGGACAGGGAATGGGTATTGCACAACGTGTCATTCCCCTTCCTCTTTTTTTTTTTTTTTTTTTTTTTTTTTTTTTTCTAAACTCAACCCCTTTCTCTTTCTCTGCAATGGATCTCTAGCATTCCACCCTCCCTCCTCTCCATGGCTGTCTCGTGACCCTCCCCTTTCTTTTCTTCCCATGCATCCGTAGCCGTAGGTATATTATATATTTTTTTTTCTAAATTCCTTATTGCCCTTTCAATTCCAATTTGTTTTTATATTTTATTTCTATCTGGGGTTGCTTTTTATTTGCTTGACCTGTTTTTACATGATCCTCTTGCTTTGAAATTTTTTGGTTTTTTTTTGTCATGAATATATAAAATTAATGACGACAGTTTTCTACATCTGAGATATTCCATCTTATATTTTAAGGATAATTTATAATTGTTATCAGAGTGATCAAATGTTTGAGGCTCACTTCCAAAACGACGATTTTTTCTTTAGTTATCAATTAAATTCAGACAGTAAGAAACTACATTTATCATTATTATAACATTACAACACAAGTTATTCTTTATTCTTCGGTGAACTTTCTGTTAGTTGGATGACCGTTTTAATTTTTTACTTTATCATTTGTGTACTTGGCTTAAACTAGTTAGGAGTTTGGAGAAGTAGAGTACCAATGTGTGCATTATTTCCTTGTTAGTTTTTTTGTTCACTTGGTGATTTCAGATAGACTTTGGATTCTGCATTTACTTATTGAAATGGATTTTAGATAATGACTCCTAGTGCGTTTCCTTTTATGCATGATCACAATACTGTGACTTGCACAAGCAGAATATTGCATCTCACTTTGAGGTTGTGGGCTGATGTGTAGGTGGAGATGGAAGGCAAGACAGAAAGTCACATTTCATCAGCTGCGGCCTTTGTTGAAGGTGGGGTTCAAGACTTATGTGATGATGCTTGCAGCATATGCCTTGAGGAGTTTTCTAAGAGTGATCCTTCAACGGTAATATATACTTTTGCATGTCACTTGTTGTTTCTAAAATACATTCATAAGAAGATATGGTTTATTTGAAGAACAATTGTGCTTGCTTATTTTCTTTCTCTTGCTTTTTTTTTAGGTCACTACATGCAAACATGAGTTTCACCTGCAGTGCATTCTTGAATGGTACATCTTAATATCCATTAATTTTTAATATGCGTCTCTCTCAAATTTCAGACTTCTATTTGTGTATGTTTTCACAAAATCCATCTAACATATCTCGGTCTTTTGTTGATGTCCCATTTAATAATTTTCTTCAATTTTAATTTCTAATTGAATTTCCTCTTGTGCTTAAATTCCACCTCCCCTCAGTTTTCTATAATATTCACACAAAGTTCAGTATAAAGCATATCCTAGAACATTTAAATTTACCTACACCAAAAATTCGGGTCTTGGTGCCTATTAGAAGTAAAAGAATTTGGAAGCAAAATCCTACTAGTATGGATACAAGATACATGTGAATTTCAGTTCTCGCATAGAAAAATCATCTCCTGTGCCTTATAATGATGAAGCATTCGTGAAAATCACAATTTCATTGACTTATTCAATAGCATGAATTGGAATGTTGTCCTATTTTTGGTTCTCCCGACTTTCATCAATGTTAAGGGTATTCACATTGGTTATGACTTGTGATCTGAGATTGGACTTTGCTGATTTTTTTTGGCTGGAAAATAGTCACATGATTTTCATTTTTGTAGTCTAGATTTGAGTGGGAGGGAGTCTTTTCACTGTTGAAGATATTCTTGTTATATCTTAGTAGTTAGGTCATAAAGTTTCTGTTCTCAAACAAAATAAATGGAAGAATATACTTTGACAATTGTTTCTGGCTCTTGTTTCTAGGTGTCAGAGAAGCTCCCAATGTCCTATGTGTTGGCAACCTATTAGCTTGAAGGATCCTTCTAGGTTGGTTATGATTTTTCTCTTAGGATGTATGTTATCATTATTTTGTTGGTTGTATTATTAAACTTCTATGTATTTTATGGCAGCCAGGAATTGTTTGAGGCTGTAGAACAGGAGAGAAGTTTGAGGGTTACCACATCAAGAAATGCTTCTATTTTTCATCAACTTGCCTTTGATGATTATGAATTGCAGCATGTTAGTAATGAATTGAGTGTTTGTTTATTTAACTACATCACAATTCTTTCATTTGTTTATGTTAATACTGCTTTTACCACTTTGCAGTTGCGCATGAGTGTGAATGATCCTGATTTTGAAGATAGAGTAATTCAACATATAGCTACTACTGCAGCGATGAGGAGAGCAGCCCAACTTGGTCAGAGGGAAGGGCAGCGAACTCGTTCAGCTCATGGTCATCCACACTTCTCAATGTTCTCAACTCAGCCTATCGCACTTTCATTAGGTCATGATTCAGTTGCTGGAGAAAATGAACCAACTGCAATTCCCAATAGAAGTGCATCTACCCTAATAACATCAGATGGAGATGAACCATCACAACAGATCCTGCACGTTCAAACTCAAAGCCCTTCTTCAGCTTTTGGATCTACTGTCATGACAACAAATCACCAAGGAGTTTACTTTAATGATAGGTCATTAAGGACATATTATTTATTTACATAAATAATTCTACTCTTTTTGATATTATGTGTCTTAGAATTTGGGCTTAGGGTGTTACTCAACCCACAAAACTAGTTCGTATGGTGAAGATTACCCTCACCTTATAAGGACTAAATTGGTAATATTTCTAGTTATGCACCTCCTCATGCGAGTCATTCCTAACAATGGGCATTTGGAGCATGGACAGATGTGGGTGATCCAATAATAACAATTTCTTACATCTTGGAATAGACAAATATAGGTGGCTTAATAATCAATATAGGATAGATTTTGATACCATTATAGAATTTGGACTTTGGGCCTAACTTGTGGTGGCTAGATAAAAAATTTAGAATAGGTTCAGATACCATTTTAGGATTTGGGCTTAAGTCTTAAATCAACCCTACAAAACTAGTTCATAAGGTAAGAATAACCCATGCCTTATAAGGATCACATCGGCCATATCTCTAGGTGATGTGAGATATTAAGAATGTGTTTACTTGGCACACCTATCTATCTTGAAAAGCTACTAAAAGTTCATTTGTATTTATATATAAAATGCTACAACTAAGTCCAAAGTGTTGTCATGCCTAAGGGATTCATTATATGAATTTTTAATTGTTAATGAACTCAGTTAACAATTTTGTTAAAGCATTAAGTCTTTAAATATTCTAGAGTTCATTGTAATGCATGTTTGTAAATAGTGTTTTATGTAGGTTTCCGTGATAGAGGTGAGGTATGCACAATAAACATAAAATACAGGAGAAAAAAGTAATTTACTCAATTTATTTTCTTATGAATCATTATTTTTGCGGATTAGTAAATTATACCATGTGCGTTTATATGTTTGCAGAGGCTCTACTGATCATTCTTCACCAACAAACCAAGATAGAGAAGGGCCATCAGAATTCCAGTCATTTTCTGATTCTCTGCGGTCCAGATTTAGTTGTTTGTCCGTAAGGTATGATTTTTTAGAATATAATGGACGTGCAAACTGTATTTGTCTAATAAACTTATCTGATATTGACCTATCTTGTGACTAAGATACAAAGAGTCAATCTCAAAGGGTGCAAGGGGATGGAGGGAGAGGTTATTCTCTCGTAGTTCATCCATGTCAGCAGTTGGTTCAAAAACAAGGAGAGTGGTGAATACTGGAATTGATAGTGTATCCGGATTGCTGGAGTCCCCTGAAACTAGTGAAAATAATAGAGTTATGGGTACTTCTTTATCAAATCATATGGAGGGTCGTGACATGGGAGGGGTAAGCTACCAGAACAATGTTGAAGCTACTAGGGAGAACTCTTCACATGATAACAATACTCCACCTGCTTGTTCTGCTATCTCAAATTTAAATTGAGCTCTTATCTGCTTCTGTTAATGCATCTTTCCTCAGCGTCTCATATTTGAAGGTAAGCTTTGATCTTTGTGTTAACCTTCAAAGAAAAATTAACAGATTTTGCCTTATGTTTTTAAACTAAATAGCTGTTTTGGTGCATATTGTAAACGTCCCCAATTACTAGGGGATAACTTTGAACATAGAAGGATTGAGTTTGACTGGTAAAAGTGGTGTTAGGACTTAGAAATGCGCTCAGTAGTAATGACAGATTGGATAGCGTTTTAATTCTTTCCTTCGTGGAAAATATAAGATGATAGTGAGGTAATAACTGTCGTGGGGTTGTTCTGGGGTACAAATAAATTGTTAATATGTTTATTTAGAAATGCTATTTTAATTGGAAATGTTTTGTGTGCTATGGTTATTATAAAGGGATGAAAAGAGAAAAGAATGCATGAAAATGTATTATTACATTGAGACTCTCTTGGAAAGATTTCCTCTAGAAGAAGGAATGAGATACAACTCAAGGAAGTTTCAGAGCCCTGTCTATCATCAACACCTCTCCAACTGTCAAAACTGTTTCTTTCTGTATTACAATGTCTTCTAAATTTATTTCCTCCTCCCTATCCTATCTAATCTGCCCCCTATTCTCTGTTCAATATTCAGCTAATACAACAAAGTTGGAGTCTTGATCTCCTTCAAGTTGTCAAAAGCTGATTGAGCTTCTGCATTCTACTGGAATTTGTCGTTTTTCAATAGTAATGCACAATAAACCTACATTAGTATCTTGTAAGACCTAAGAATATTCACAACCTTCATAACCAAATAGCTATTACTTCCATCTTTTTAGGATCTGCAGAAACTCCTCTTGTTGAGACCTTGAGATGATGTGTACTCAACACTTTTAACTCCTTGCAGCCAAAACTACATTTCCTCTTCTTGGTTACTGACTTTGCCGCTCCGCCTCATTTATACTAATATATTAAGATATAATTGAGAAAATACCAAAACAAATTTGCATAGGAAAGGGCTTAAGTACCTCATTAATTCAAAGCTTGGAAGGAGCATTTGTAAAAGCAAAAAGTATCCCCTACACACACCCCAATCCTGGATCAACAAGGTCAAATTAGACATTTAACTCTTGAATTTTTGTGCCATCACCAACTTCCACATGATAGGGGGAGGTCTTTATAGCCTCCAATTTCATTTCCAACACCAATTTAATTGAATTGGTTAAAAAAAAAGGTCACAAATTTGAGGCCTTTTTTTTCTTCCTATATTTTCAGAAGATCAAAAGATGAAGCTATGATAAATTTTTGTGTGAGCTCATGTGTAATATTTGAATCTGGCATGATTCTAACTGCTTTCTGATGCTGTTAAAAGAAAACAAAATTATCAGCATAAACATAATATTTAAAGTGTAGTGTGTGTGTGAAATTGTTCATTTTACTAATCCTTTGGTGCGTATTACACATTTGGTCTCACTCGAATTTTTTAACTCCTCAGGTAACTTTCTCCAGACATGACACGCTGAGGAGCAGATATGCTTTGCAATAAAGATTAGAATATGAAAAACAACTGTGCTTATACCTAAAAGTTAATGTTTCTATGTATATACATTATGCCGGAAACCGTGAAGAGTTGTGTGTATCTAAAGTGTCTGGGTGGAATGGATTTTAAACTGGCATGTATTCTGGACATAAATGTACTCATGGAGGAAAAACGTATGAAATTAAAGGGAACTTGTGCTCGTGATTTGCCCCAATTCTTTTACTTTTTGCTTATCAACAAGTCGATCTATAGGAGAAGGTGGCAACTAGATTACATGTTTCTTCGGGCATTCCAACTAAATGAGGTCCCATGGAAGCGGGTAATAGTAAACCTGCTCCCGTCCTGCTTAATAAAAATTGACCCCATACCCATTTTATATCCGTGCGGCGGCCGCAAGGACGGAGCCAAGGGGGGACCTACGGGTGCCACGGCCCCCCCAACAATTTTAATTTTTTTTTATATACATATATATTACTATATGGCACCCCCTATTTTTAATATAAACTCATATTTTTAATATAAACTCATATGTATATTACTATATGGCACCCCCTATATGGCACCCCCAGTATTGAAATCCTGGCTCCGTCCCTACGTGCGGGTATCTATTAAGCAGGTATTCATGAATTTCTTGAATATCCATGATAAGTTTATATTTTAATGTCATTGAAATATTAAAAATAAAAATTCAATGTTAATTTTGAACTTTTATTTAACGTTAATTTTGTTAAAATAATAATAAAAATTCAAGATAATCAATAACTTAAAATATATCAATCTCACAAGTAAGTTAAAGTCTCATCATAAAATTACAATAATTCAATCTCATAATTCTAAATGAAAGTAAATAACTTAAAATACATAAATTTTATTGGTCTAATCAAAACTAGAAAATTAATCAAAATACATCTAACATAATTTTATAACATGCTTAACACATGTCGATAACTTCATCAACCTCATTTTTGTAAGAAAATAAGATGAGAGAGTGTAGTTTTAGGATTATGTGGTACAAGGATAATTAGGATATTTAAGAAATAATATTAAACGGGTACCCGCGGGGAAGAAAAGGCCTAAACAAATAGCAAATTGTTACAATTTCGAATAATCGAAAAGTTGCTGTGAAGAAAAGGCCTAAACAAATAGCAAATTGTTACAATTTCGAATAATCGAAAAGTTGCTGTGAAGAAAAGGCCTAAACAAATAGCAAATTGTTACAATTTCGAATAATCGAAAAGTTGCTGTGAAGAAAAGGCCTAAACAAATAGCAAATTGTTACAATTTCGAATAATCGAAAAGTTGCTGTGAAGAAAAGGCCTAAACAAATAGCAAATTGTTACAATTTCGAATAATCGAAAAGTTGCTGTGAAGAAAAGGCCTAAACAAATAGCAAATTGTTACAATTTCGAATAATCGAAAAGTTGCTGTGAAGAAAAGGCCTAAACAAATAGCAAATTGTTACAATTTCGAATAATCGAAAAGTTGCTGTGAAGAAAAGGCCTAAACAAATAGCAAATTGTTACAATTTCGAATAATCGAAAAGTTGCTGTGAAGAAAAGGCCTAAACAAATAGCAAATTGTTACAATTTCGAATAATCGAAAAGTTGCTGTGAAGAAAAGGCCTAAACAAATAGCAAATTGTTACAATTTCGAATAATCGAAAAGTTGCTGTGAAGAAAAGGCCTAAACAAATAGCAAATTGTTACAATTTCGAATAATCGAATCGATAGGTCAAGGAATAACAATGTTTAAATTATTATTACTGGCCGGGAAAAAGTGACTCAGTGCTTTCGTGGGAAAAATAAATGTGTATTCCGTAAAAAGATAATAAGTAGGTGGTTATTATTTTTAAAGATAATAGTTGCTGTATTTTTTTGTATATGCATTTTATTTTAATTTCATCTTTAAAATATATATTGGTGGTAAAAAATTTAAAATACAACAATGAGATATAATTATTTTTCAAAAAAAATGAGATATTGCTGTATAGATTTTGATGTATAATGATTGAGAAAAAATGAATAACTTCAAAGTTTGTGTATATTTCTCAAATCTTTGATGACTAAGTTGACATAGTGATTTACTATCTTAAGGTTATATTTGATAAACTTCTTTAAAAAAAAATTTAAGAGATAAAAAAATGGGATGAAAAATCAAAATGAATGTATTCATATATCAAAATTAGTTTATGTATAAACTAAAAATAAAATTTAAATAAATTAATAAAATAAAATTTTTACATATTAGTTTATACATGTACTAATTTTAACCTATAAAAGAATATATTATATTTTTTCTTCCTGTTTTCTCATTAAAAAAAGGTGTACCCAACATACCCTTAATATAAGATTTAAAATCCAGTTAAATTAGTTTTTTTTTCTTCCTCTTTTCGTTTTATAGTGGTTTTGTCAAGTGCTTTCTGTGCACGAGGATTATTGTGATGACGATAAATTTTGCCAAGTGAAGCAAGCATTAGAAAAGTAGACATAAGTAGTAATGTTAAATCCACACGTAATATTTCATTCATTAAAAAATTTATGATGAAATTGGATCAGATCGTATGGAAAAGAATATATTTATGATTGTTTAGATGTAAAAAGAAGCACATGTTGGGAGGTGGGTGGATAGTGGTTTTATTGTAATTTGTTAGGGATTTTCTAATACTAGAAAGTTTTAAGACTAGAGATGTCCTCGTTCTCGTTTAAGGCGAGGCAAATAGTTTCCTTTTTAATTAATTTATTTACTATTAACAAAATAAAGACACTCCATATTTTGTTAATATTGTTTGTGAAAGTTATAATATCATAGAGAAATTGTAATTTATTAAATACAAAATTATTTTGAATAAATAAAATTATTGAGTTGTGTTACATTAAAAAAAAACGATGTGTGATTATCAAAATAAATAAAGTGTGAAAATGTTTTAAAGATATACACACAAAAATATTATAGTATTTTTATATATTGTTATAGATTATTATTATTATTAAAATAATTTATTTTTCTCTTTTTCATTATCTAAGTTGACTAATTTAGTGAATATTTTTTATTTGATTAAATTTTAATTTTCTCTTAAATAGTATAATTCACTTTTCTTTTCATCCATAAGAAGTTGAATGAGGATGATAAGATACTTATCTAAGGCTGTGTATAGAGATAACAAATAAACTCGTACTGTGGTTAATATCCGAACCCATCTCAACTTTGACGGGAAATACTCGGTTTGACTGGGTACGAGTACGGGTAAAATATGATATGTTAAACTAGGTACAGTACGGGTATGTATATACCCGTATCCGTTCCTGGTTGAATTATGTTAAAAAAATTTAATATTTTATTATGTGTAATTATTTATTATAATCTGAAACATTTATAGTTATTTAATTATTAAGAAATCTCTTGATTAAAATATGAGATAGAGAAATAATTTAATTATAATTATAATATAATAAAAAAATAATTTAAAAATATTGTGTATTTTTTTTGTAAAAAAATAATAATAATTTTTTACTGGTACGAGTATGGGTTTACCCGATACCCGATGGGGACAGAAATGGGGACGAAAATTATATACCCGACGGGTAAAGATACGGGTACGAGGATGAATTAAAGTCGCGGGAACGAGAACAGGTATTATGAAACCAGTACCAGACTCGCCTCGTTGTCCCCTAACTCTATACATGTTATCCTAATTATCACCACTAAAATTATAGTTTTACATTTAATTAAATGACAGATTAAAATTGAGTTAAAAGTTTGAAGTTTGTTTTAATTTTTTTACAGGATAGATAAAATTTAATATTTTAAAAATATATAAAAATCATTATTATTTATTATTACTCTGTTCAAAGTTATATACAAAGAAGTATTTAAACTATGCAATACACAAAATAAATAAATTTACAAATTATAGAGTAAAAAAGCTAGCACTCATTCAATTTACAAAACATGATATTATTTATAACATGTACAATATTGAAATTGCTTCTTCTTTTTTAACTCGAGATCAAAAGGTTGGCATGGCAATTGATTTATGCGTTTGGTGTACATCCAATGATATATTTAATTCATTATTAATATTAAGAAAGATACATGTTAATACGATTTCTACAATGCTCATGAATCGATTTTTTTTATTTTCCAGCGGTACATGGGTAGTAGATATAAAAATAAAAAAGTGAATGATGAAATTGGATCTGAAGAAATGGAGAAAAGATATTTATAATTATTGTAGAGAAGCAAATATAAAACGAAACACATATTTGGAGGTGGGTGGATAGAAGTTTTATTATAATATAGGGTAGTGTGGTTTGCAATTTTTTTATTATAGAAGAAAGTTGTAAGACGAGGGGAGACATAAAGAAAGCAGAAGGTAAAATAGTGATTGAAGTGGAAGTGAAAATGAAATGTGGAGGTTAAAGAGTGAGTGAGAAGTGAAGATAATGATAATTGACAAAAGAACCACCGTAGGAGGGGAAGTCGCGGTCTGTGTAGAAGAGAGTGTTGAGTGTTGAAATTGAAGGAAAGAGAGCGTAGAAAATAAATGAAGCTGATTGTGTATGTTCTCTTCTGGGACACCGACACTTTGCCAGACACAACATTCACGTTTCGGCCACCCTCCTTTTAATAAGAAACATAAGGTGGAATTAACGTGGCATCTTCATAATTCATAATTCATAATTCATAATTCATAATTCATAATTCATAATTCATAATTCATAATTCATAATTCATTTAATTTAAGATGGAAAACTAATAATAATAGTAACATAGTTAACCTGAATTTGATGATTAATTAGAGTAATAGGGAGTGGTGGCTGGGCTAGGTGCGAGTGAGGGCATAGCAATAGCAGCGCATGAGTTGGCGTGTGGTCCCACATACAGGCTGTCACAGAATAGTATGTATTGTATAAACATATTAACATACAGGCAGAGGGAGGCTCAACGATTAAGCAAAGGCAATAGACAGGGACTCACCAACCATTAACCACTTCCACGCTTCCTTCAACTCTTGAGTCTTGCCTTCTCTTCTTCTCACTCCACTTTTACCTTCATCACTAATCATTACCAGCGCGCTCTTTCTCCTCACAACTCACGAGCGCCATGGATTCCTCTTCCATCTATGCTGTCTCGCTCTTCCTCCTGCTCCTTCTCCCGCTCCACTCCGCATTCCCCCACAACTCCTCCGCCTCTGCCCAGATCAACTCCAACTCCATCCTCGTCGCGCTCCTCGATTCGCGCTACACCGAGCTCGCCGAACTCGTCGAGAAAGCGCTCCTCCTCCAGACTCTCGAACAAGCCGTCGGCCACCACAACATCACCATCTTCGCGCCTAGAAACCAAGCCCTCGAGCGCCACCTCGACCCCGAATTCAAACGCTTCCTCCTCGAGCCTCGCAACCTCAAGTCCCTCCAGACGCTCTTAATGTCACACATTCTGCCCACGCGAATCGCCTCGCACCACTGGCCCGCCGCCGACCTCCACCACCAGACGCTCTCCGACCACCGCCTGCATTTGACCACCAAACCCTCCGGCCATAAAACCGTCGACTCCGCCGAGATCCTCCGCGCCGACGACGTCCTCCGCCCCGACGGCGTCATCCACGGCATCGAGCGCCTCATCGTCCCCCGATCCGTGCAGGAGGATTTCAACCGCCGCAGAAACCTCGCCGCCATCTCCGCGGTGCTTCCGGAGGGAGCACCGGAGGTCGATCCCCGCACTCACCGCTTGAAAAAACCCGCGCCGGTACCTGCTGGAGCGCCGCCGGTTCTCCCGATCTACGACGCCCTAGCTCCGGGACCGTCGATCGCACCGGCGCCGGCGCCGGGACCGGGAGGAGCGCGGCACCACTTCAACGGCGAGCGGCAGGTGAAGGACTTCATACACACGCTCCTGCATTACGGAGGATACAATGAAATGGCGGATATTCTGGTGAACCTGACCTCGCTGGCCACCGAAATGGGAAGATTGGTTTCGGAGGGTTACGTTCTAACCGTTTTGGCTCCAAACGACGAAGCGATGGCGAAGTTAACGACGGATCAGTTGAGCGAACCGGGCGCACCGGAGCAGATTATGTACTTTCACATTATTCCCGAGTACCAGACGGAAGAGAGTATGTACAATGCGGTTAGGAGGTTCGGTAAGGTTCGCTACGATACGCTGCGGTTACCGCACAAGGTTCTGGCGCAGGAGTCTGACGGCTCCGTTAAATTCGGTCACGGCGATTCCTCCGCCTACCTCTTTGATCCTGATATTTACACCGATGGGAGAATCTCCGTCCAGGGGATTGACGGCGTTCTTTTCCCTCCTGAGGAGGAGGAAGAACGCACCCGCCGCACCACTCCACTTGTTAAGGTCGCCGCCAAACCAAGGAGAGGTATTCTTTTTTTCTTTTACTTAATTACAATCATTAATTTCTTAGGGTTTCGCTTGATTTTTAACAAGGTGAGTGAGTTTAGGGTAAAGTTGTTTAGGTTTAGCATTTATTTTGGGGCCGTCATTATATTTATGGCGTTAACCTTAACCTTTCTGGCTGTGGAATGGAATGGAATGGAATACCCATGATCACACGTGTGAAGCCATCTGCTCTTCTCTTGTTATTGTGGGCTAGCTACATAGTTTTAGGTCTTGGTTTTCACTTTCCACGCATTATTGGGTTCATGGAAGAGGACAAAAGTTTCCCATTGCATTGCATTGCATTGCAGTAGGGTTCTGCTCTGAGAGTTAAAAACTACTGTGTCAAATTTGCTTTCCAACAGACCCATGCCACGATGGTGAAGAATAAGATTATCCCCAAAATTGAAGGGGGAAAGAAAGGAAATAGATTGAATAATTAGTTAATTATATTTTTAATTAGTATTAAAGTTCTTTTTTATATAATTTTTATTTTTTACTCTTACATTTCTACTCATCCAAATAATAAGTATTTCTTTCTTTTTATTTTTATTTATCTAACTAACATAATTTTTTCTACTCCATAGTACTTTTTTTCACTCTTAAACTCAAATGCACCTTATAGATAGTATCTTATCTGAAGCGGCGAGGAACTAGCCAAATATCAGTGATGGTGACAAAAAGGGTGATTTATAATGAATTTGATTTCTGTTAGTCTGAATAGTCTGTCTCTTTGTCCTAGCCAGTCCATGTGATTAATCAACCGTATACTAAAATGAATTCGGTGTGCCAAGCTGTAATCCACATTCTACTTTCCCCACCTAGCCCAACTTAGGTGCTAAAATGCTATCTGTCTATATTAATCTGATTATTATATACACCAACACCCTTCATTTTGTGGTTTCGTATCGTTTATTTACACCATATTATTATAGTCAACTAACATAATATTTTGATTCCCGTTTTTTAACAATTTAATTGTTTGTTACGAATTTAGGAGGGATTTAAAAATCAACCTCTGAATATGTAACTTGTTTTTTTTATTGTTTGCATGTGAATGTGTAATAGAATTGCCTGGCTATTCGTTGACTTAACAATTTACCTAAACGCATGTGGCAGGGAAGTTGCTGGAAGCCGCCTGTAGCATGTTTGGAGCTTTTGGACAAGTCTGCCAATGAAATCGCTTTCCCAACTAATCACAAAAATAATAAAGAGTGAATGTATGTAAACTCGATCCATGGTAAGTTACCCACCACTCATAACTCATTGCTTCGGTTACTTCATTTCTATGAATAACACAGTCTAATCTGATTCATATTGTTTGGCTTGCATTATGCAGTTGTAGAGTAATCATTTGAATACAAAAGATGCATCGTGAATCTATAATCGGAGAGCGATTACACAGAACACAACAAATTTTCTGTCATTTTGCTTCATACTGTAATTACATACTACCATTTTTTTATTAAATTTTATTTTATGTTGATTCTCCGTCTCTATGCGTAAATAACCACCGACGCCCCTTCTTGGTTGCCCCTTTTTTTTTGTTTTGTTATATTTTTTTTATTACTATTATTGCTTGTATGTATGTGAATCAAGTCATACACAATCTACTTTATTATTATGCCTTTCAACTTCCAACTCGTTTTCTTTACCACTTTTTTATTTTTATAAAAAAAGAAAACAACTAACGATGAAATGGACCTCTCAGCATAAGAATTTTTTTTTATGTAAAAAAATAAACTAATGAGGTGGACCTCTCAGCTGAATTTATTTTTCTTCTAAAAAAAGAAAGAAGGAAAGAAATGGAGCTGTGCTTTGTTTAGAGGCAAGGGAAGGTGTTGTTGAGGGGTTATATCACGGAAAGCCAAAACTAATGGTGGCAGTGATACAGATACTGTGTTAGGAGGAAGGAGAGAAGTAGTTGTGGAATTTATTATTTGCCGAATAAGACAGAACAGCTAAATGGTCTTGCTTTGCTGGGCCTCAGCTGGTGTCGGTGATTATATTATAAGCCTCTTGGTGGGCTAAATAAATAAATAAAAATAAAAGCCTCTTGATGTAACCTCGTGTTTGTGCTTTTGTAGGAAACACATTACTATTCACCCTCACTTTATACATCTTGCAAATAAACGATGAAAACATATTTCCTGTCATATTTTAAATATAATTTTTTATTAGTTGACATTTATTAAAAGCTTAAAATTTAATAAGTTTTACATTTTATTTAATGATTCTTTTTTATTATTATTTTGTAATTCTAATAAATAAATCTGAGTGTGTCAAGAAGAATGTAATAAAGAGTGTATTGTTAACACTTTTTTTAAATTATAATATAGAAATAAAAATTACACCACTTTCAATACGAAGATAATTTTATTTTATTTTTGACAGTGAAGACATGTTTGGTTTAGTGTCGGCATTTGATCTACGTTTTAATTTTCCACATTTTGATGTGAAAAATTCATATAGCTTTCGTCCACGACGTGTTACCAAACAGCAACAGGCACTTATTCCTTTATTTCCACGTAAGAAAAGTCGTGTCGCTAGGCTGATTCCATGCATGCGTGCACCATGAGATGTTAACCTTTTCCTCTAATCCTCTTGAAGCACTGGCATTTGTACTAGCCAAGAGGTGATATTTGTAACATTCGTTGACATAAAACTAAACATGCACGTCATCATTTTCCCTTTCTCTGGTTGTTTCCTTGCCGGTTTAAGGATCTAGGGATGCTGGAGATACGATCTAATAAACAATTTGGACTTTTGTTTTATTCATTGTACAATAGTGTATGCCGATGCTTTTATTCTTTGTTATCACATTTAATAATCAATGACACCTGATTATTAATGTTTCGGTATGAAAAAAAGTCCTACGCTTCAGGATTGACCTAGTTTTAGAGCATTCAAAGGGTAAAATCTCTTTTTCTCTTTTACCAAAACTAAGTTTTATAGGCGTGTCCTCACGCATTGCAATCCTATTTTTCTTACGGAAAAACTTGCAATGTTAAGAAGTGATTAAAATTCTACTCTCATTTTATGGAAAATGTCCCTAATATAACCTAGTGTGTTAGGCTCTTGTACAGACAAAGCTGGGTTCGTAGTTCATACCGACTTAATGAAATTAGATCAGCAATGACATATCGAATACCAACTAGCTAGGAAGGGTACCCACCCTCCAACCTCAAGCGCAAAGGTGCTTCAAGATGAGAACATATCGATTCCCAATTCAAAGGGTACACAACCTTTCGGCTTCAAGGGTAGATGATAATACATCCACTATCAACCTTACACAAATAATGATAGATTTTATTATGACTATTTTATGTCTTTCTATTTGACATTTGATCAAATTGAAGCGGGCATGCTAAACAACTAAACAGCAACCAAGATGCACCCACCATCACCGGAAGCATTGAAAGAGCAAAAGAAATGAACTTAGATCAAGCCCTTTGGTTGTGCCATTTCAAACTTACTGTCCAGCAGAAGAAATATCCCATTTGAACATTTAGTGATTTAATTCAATTGTATTGAAACGAGCATGAGTTACCGGTGCAATGTAAGGCATTAAGTAGCGGAAAAAATTATCTATTAAATTTAAAAGTAACTAAGTTATGATTAATATTTAAATTAATTTATAAAATTGTTTTAGTTTAATCATAGTTTCAAGTTTGAATTTTAGTATTCACACGAGAGTTTTGCTTTAACTTGAACATGATTGTCTTTGGAGGAAGATATATATGATCATCATGACCAAAAAAAAAAAAGAAATATTTTAAAAAGTTCAAAATAGAATAATTTTCTGCATAATGTGTGTTTCATTTTGATTCACTTTTGAAGCTATAATCTGTGTTTCTCCTTTGATTATGTCATGTATGAAGTGGTGCACGTAGGTTGAGAAAAAAAATGGCAAGAACTCCAACTTCTTCAAGAAAAAGAGTTGTAAGCTAATTTGCAACATATGTTGGCCCGACCTGCATTGTTCACGTTAGCTATCTGAAACCCACACTTCATCAATATTTTCAGAAAATATGTTATGGATGTTAATGAATATTTGAAAAGATGTTGCGATCAAAGAAAGAAAACAAATACCACCTAAAGAAAAACAAAATGTATACCTCACTAGTTGATATATAGCCATTTTGGTTTTTGTCAAAATCCTTGAAAGCCTTTTTGAGCTCCCCCCTCTGCATCAATATCCCAAGTGAAAAACAACACATAACTGATCTTAGTCTTTGGTTATTGTATGATGAAAAAGGACTTGAAGCTTTCGCAACATATGTCAATATGAACAAATTAGGACTTAATTAGTGGCATATACATATATGCAAAATAAGGAACATAATTTACTTTCACTTTCTTGGTCATCAAGCTCAATAACTCATCAAATTCAGTGGCCAGTTCTTCCATGGTTATGTGCCCTAAGATAATAAGTTGCACACAATTTATAACATCCACCATATGCACATGTATGATACTGATGAGGATAATTCAACTGAATAGAAGGTACCCATTTTATGAAAATTTTAGACACTACAAAAAGGAGAAAGTTTGCTCACCATCTCCATCTTTGGCAAACAAGCCAAAGGACTCTTTAAAATCAAGAATCTGCTCTTCACCCAGGACATCTATCATGGTGTATTTTTCTTTCAAACTTTAACCAGAAAAAGAGATAGAAACACTGAAAAAAAGAGAGAGGGAGAGAGTAATGTGTGAAGTGTCGCTCAATCTTAGCTGGGTAGGTTATATGTAGAACTCGAGTGATGCTAGCTAGTCTAGCAAGATTTCTTTTAAAATTTAATTTAGTTACCTTACATGTACTTCAATGGGAACTATTCTACATGAATGAGAAACTATGACATGTGGTTTCAAACTGTTCTGATTTATACACATGGTCGAATATATATATATATTTTTTTTAAGTAAATTGAAAAATGTGACTATGTATCATATAAAAGATTAGTTGAGACTATAAACCGTTCCTAGATTATATAATAAGCATATCCTAATGAATAAAAAAAAAGGGAAGCGTTCTTGATTTTTTTTTTCAATATTTGTGAAATGCTGAATCGAATCAAATCATTTTTCTCAATGGGAATGTCTTATTCCTCCAATTAAAAAATAACACCTTACTAAAAGTGCAATTACAACTAAGAAAAAGTTTTTCTTTACTTTTAATTAAAAGATTTTATTTTTCAAGTGTCAGTTTTCAATTAAAGAAAAGAGATAATTTTAATCCATGTAATACTTGAATGACTTGCTAAATAATGAATTAATAAGGCATTTTAATGTACATCACATAGTATAACAGCTCTATAGGGGGAAAAAACTTATTTGCAATACACGTTTATGATGAACATGAAACAAACTCTATATTCACAATGATAATGAAATAATTATTAACATAGAGCTCTAATCTTGCATATAATTATGAAGTCCGATTATATAAATCTACACTCCAGCAGTAACCTCATATGACACAAGCTCGGGTGTAGTTGAATTTAGAAGCAGCGCACTATTTGGTGGATGACCTGTTTCAGATTGTAACTCCATGTCATTTTTGCATTCAGAATTGTTAACATGTGGATCTTGGCACTCTTCTTTGCTTGCTGTAGTTACATTTTCCTGAGACTTCATCTTGGCTTGGGTTTTCCGGATTGGTTTCTTTGGAATCACATCTTTATGACCCTTTACCTTATTTGAATCATTCTTCTGTTGTTTCCCTCGTGGACTGGAGCAAGAGTTATCTTCTCCTGAATTGTTGTTCATAGCAGATTCTTTGTGCCTTCCAAGCTTTGGGGACCTTGCACGGGTTGTTGGTATCTAATTGGTAGATAAAATACATCAGAATACACAGAAGTACAGAAGAACAAAAAAGATATTTATTAGTACCTAGTACCTATTACCATAAATGATGGAAGTAGATTCCATCAATAAAAATGTTGAGGAGAAAGATAGATGATCATCGATCATTCATGAGCCCAATTGGAAGTTATGTTTAAGATTCGTTACCTTCTTCAGCTCAACTTTTGGAGGTGGTTCCTTGTAGAAACTTGGCATTGGAGTGGCTTTGAATGTCATGCTCTTCCTCAATAGCTTGATCTCTGCCTCTTGGTTTTCCTGCCGAAAATCCAGAACAAAACATGGAGAGAATAAGCTTAAAGCAGCAGATCAGCTGTTAGTGGAAACTTTAACCTCAAAATGAAATAGAAACACGTTGAAGCTAGTTTGTGTGAATTTTTAACAAGTACTTACAAGAAAAGAAAAATAGAATCAGTTCGTGCATTCAACCAATGAAGAAGTTAAATGAGAGATCTGAAAAAATGTTTCATTACATGATTTAATTTTAATTTAGAATAAAAGTTTGATTTATTCTGCCTCTTTAAATTATTTTTTTGTATAAGCAGTTATTGACAAGTTTTACTAAAATATTTCCAAGTTAGTTAAGTGATTGACTTATTGTGATGATATACCTTTGATTTTGCTTGTTGGTTAGTTTTCTCTGCCTCCTTAGCCTGAATTTTTTCCTCCAACTTAGAGAAAAACTGAGTAAAAAAAGGATAAAATAGGATTAACATCTGGTTCAGGCATTTGCAATAGTAACATCAATAGGATGTAAGGTTCCAGCAACAACCTCCTTCCTCTTTTCAGCTCTTTCTTCCAATCTAAAGGAAAATCCACTTCCACTGCTTCTGTGACGGGGAGTAGCACTTCTGATAAACATATTTGTAAGACAGTTTTTACGAACATACAAGCCAAAGTAAAAGGAGAAAGGAATCCAATTTATTAAGAATTGACAGAACTCAAATCCTATTTAATAAATAGAAGAGCAAGGATGACATGAAGATATGTCCTCAAGAGTAATATAGGGTATATAAGTCATACGAAGTTGTGGAATGAGAATCATCATCCTCTTTATTTGCTTTTGCAGTTTTTGACACCTGATCAACGGATCTGCAATAATGCAAAGAACCAAAAGGTGATAATCCATGATTCCATTCAGCATAACAATCTTCTGAAGTTAAATTTTCCAATTCAGGCACAGCATTGAGTTACCCTAAACTGATAACTATTGATATATTTTTTTTTAATTATGATATTGGTACTGAGTATCTATTATTAAAAGTGGTGACTATTTCCCATCGAGGATCATGAGTATATATAATTTAGATATTTTCCTCTTAACATAATTTATTCTATACCTAAAGTTAAGATTACACCTCTGATTAACTTAATAAAAAAATACAAGTCGCTACTAGTACGTGTGTTAACCAATATTAGTAATCGAAAACTATTGATAGCAACACTTTAAACTACTAAATTTTGGGAGGTTGTGACTTACAACGATGCCTCAGATGTATGGTTCTTGGTGACTGCAGTAACTGGAGTAGACCTTCCAAACTGTAGAAAGAACTAATGTGATGAACATAGAAACCATTTATAAGAGGCAATGAAGCTACACAAAGAAAGGAAATGAGGAATTGAAAGTCTCTACCACAGAGCGTTTCAAACCAGGTGTGCCAGCGTTGGTTTTTGCCAGCGAGTTCCCTTCAGAGTTTGCGGGCTTGTTTAAATGACGAATCGGGGGCTTACCCCTAATCCCATTACCTTGAACGTGTTTAACTTTTGTCCTCACAATATACCCATCAATGCTTTTCTGCATAGCATCTTCACCAGCTGATTTGGCAGGGAATGAAAGGCTTTGAGAAAGGGATGGCCTTTGTTTCTGAGATAATGAACTTAGATCCTTCATAATGGGTTTATCTTTGACAGGTTTGTTGTTCTTGGAAGCAACACTTGCTCTACCACCAGTTTCCTAATCATGTTAACTTAATTAGTAAGAGCCCCCTACTGGCTACTGTTTATTATGCTTTGTATTGTAAATATTCATCATGAGATTCATGGCCAATACTTAAGTTTAAACAAATGATTCAGATACATTTTATATGGTACCTTGGCACCTTTTGAATTTTTTTTGGCAGACCAAGTTTTAGAGGCTTCAACTGCAACATTGTCACCAGCCACTGTGGGTTTAGATACTTCATTAGTGTCGTTTTCAACTTCTTTCTTTGTTGTTACCCCAATAACACGTTTCTCTTCCTCCACAGCGACCCCGTTTTCAGAGTCCATTGTGCTGTAAACAATTACACAAAATAAAGTCGATTTGAATGATGATTGATGACCCCCTGTAAAAGAAATGGCAAATATTTTTGTGTTTCTGGTGCATATTATTGAATAATACTATGATTATTGATAGAGAAATGAGAATCCAATATAAAGTACACACTTGTTCATAATTTTGACCAAAGGCTGATTACATTAATCAAATTGCTTCATTAATGAGAATCAAAGGAAATAAATAACAGATCATGAGTAAGCATTGTGTCCTGAAATCACTAAAGCACAGCCTATGTTCCCTTCTCTTTTATGAGACATTGAACATGTTTATGAATGGATAAAATGTCGCTCTGTAACCAAGTAAACAGTGTATTCACCTATATTGTAAGAAGCTTTTACTCAAATATCATGTCAAATTTGTTGACCTTTTACGACAAGTCAATAACTATTTAAAAGTTAAAACAATCATATTGGAAGTTTGGAACATTCTTTAATTTCAAATATCCTACAATACCTATCTCTTTTTTATTAAGTCATATTACCTATTATACTTATATTGTTAAAAGTTATATGCATCAATAATAACTTTTGATTAGTTAATATTGACAATGCAAAGAAATTAAATGCATAAACTATATTGATGATCGAGTTTAATTTCTTTTACATTATTTTATGGTTTTATATGACATTTTAATTTTAGTTCTTAAAAATATATCTTGTTTTATTCTTTATAAATTTTAAAAGTTCTGAAAATGGTTCTTACCGTAATATATTGATGCTGTGATGTGTATATAAACCTGTTATATCACATGTCATCTTTAAGTTTAAATGTATATCACGTCACCATTAAATGAAATGATGATAGAAACCATTAATATTTTCTTTTTCCACTAGAATTAAAACTAACAAATTTTTTTGAAACAATAAAACTAAATTTCACTAACTAAAAATATATTTAAATCTATTTTTATTTGCACTAGAAATGGCAACTTTGATGGTGGAGAGAAACAGAGTGACACACTATGTCATTACAATGTATTCCATTATGATGACGTAAAAAGATGTTCTGAAAAGGGAGAGATCTAGAAAATATAGAAAGACAAGTTTACTTTAGAAATTCTTTTTCTTTTCATAGTTTTCAGTTTTTACTTAAACTTCAAAATCTTCCTTGCTACGTAAATTTAATGCGGCTTATAAGCGTGTGATGATTTTACTTAAATTTAGAAATCACTGGTCCATTCATGCAAGATTAGCTCCTGCATTCCAATCCTGGGAAATAAGACAAGCAATAAAGAATGAATTATGAAATGAATCTTCATTCCCTGCACTCTCTTCGCAAATAAGATTTTCACTTGATCTAAATCCAAAACACACAAATCACAATGTAAGGAACACAAAATGCATCTAGAAAACAACATGAATGTGAAAATTCAGAACTCTTTGTCTGCATACAATAAATCAGATGTAAGGTAAAGAACATGGTTACCTCTAAAACTTTGTTTCTCGTTGATTTATTAACAAGACTCACGTGCACACAGAGTGGAATGGAGATCGATCGAGTAACAAATTAAATGATTGTGTTGTGCTTATAATTTTGGCAGTGCAGAAGACAGAAGAGAATGTGAATGTGATTATTGATGGTGGTTTGGATTAGGAGCACAAGAAGAGGGTTTGAAGTGTGATTGATATATAGTTGAAAACTTTAAGTGAGAGAGAGATTTGTGAAAGGAAAGTGAAGTGGGAGGAGCTTTCAATGAAGGGGATAGATAGATTAATAGGAACTGCCACAATGACTTTTCTACCACTCAGTAACTGTCACTGGAAGCAAACTTCTTTTCTTTTATTGTTTAACTGTCACTGCAACCATTTTATGCTGAAATTACTTTCCATTACATGGTTTCGGAACACTCATCCTCTTCCTTCTTCATTAACCACCACAATTTTAATTAATCAATCATTTCCCTCATAATTATTATCAGTTCCTCAAGGAACCCTTCTTTGTAATATTTTGGCACACACGAACATGGTTGTCTACAAAATGCTGACTTTGGTTCAACCAAATTGACCCCATTAATGTTGAGTAGGATAATGCTTGTTTCTGTATGAGTAAAGAAGAGAGAACCTTGTCCAATGTCCACACCCCATGAATTTTATTTTAGCTAAACTGAACATTTTGTACTAAATTATATCGTGGGACAAATCAGACTGTTAGTTTGGTTCATGTGATTATAGAGATTTATTAAACACATAATTGCATACCGTTTTGTCTTTGTTTAAATTTATTATGCACTTGCTCATCGAAGTTGGCAATCAGTCACACCTTACCCTTATATTATAATATATAGAGCTGTGATACTCCTTCACCGATCATTTTGGGTAGATTAGGGTGGAAATGAAAAAGAGATAGAGAGAAATGAATGAAGGTAAATAGAGAAAGTAATAAGTGATAGATAAATGTGATGAAAAAAGAATTGAGATGGAAGATAAGTTATAATTTTGTTTAGATAATCTTTTTAAAGTTATTTATTTATGCATAAGTTAATTTGTAAAAGTTTTGCTATATTAATTTTTTGAAAAATGTAATTTTTTTATAAATTTATGTGTAAGTTAATTTTAATTTATAAAAAGTTATTATATTTTTTCTATTAAAAATATTTTATAAAAAAAAACTATCTAAACGATGAATTTTCTTAATACTAAAGAGGGAGGAGGGGGTTTAACACTGAAATGAAATTATGCCGAATAAAATAGTTAGAATTTGGAGTTGGGTAATAAGTTAGATAAGAAAAAATGATGGTAGAATTTGGAAAAGGGCGAGAGAGTAAATTGA